CATCGCAGGAAAGAGCAGCTCTAAAGGGGCATCTCTCCCTTTGAGCTGTTCAAGAACAGGAGGCTCTCCTGAGAGTCAGAATGCATTTTCAAGCAGGTACAGTGACATTTAAGCAGTAAGTGGCTCACTGCTGATTCTCAACTGGTTTTGTTCAGATAGTACTTTATTTTATTCATCCTCACCCAAGGATATTTTTCCCATTGATTTTTTTTTTAGAAAGAGTGGAAGGGAGGGGGAGAGACACACAGAGAGAAACATTGATGTGAAAGAGACGACACATCGATTGGTTATCTCCTGCACTCACTGGGGGCTCACCCTGCAACTGAGGTACATGCCTTTGACCGGGATTAAACCTGGGACCCTTCAAGTCGGCGGGCCGACCCAAACCAGCTCAGCTAGGACCAGAACCCGAAAATCGCCAACCCGATCCCCCCACCGCAATGCTCACACATACTCCTCAGCCCTTCTCGCAGCAGGTGGCCAGGGCGCAGCTCTGGGATTCCAGGGGAAAGGGCCTGAGAGGTGGCCTTACCTTCAGCAACACCACGTCCACTGTCCTGTCCACCTTGGAGATGTCACACAGGCTGTAGCGCCGCTTGTGCCGCTCGTACATTCTGACCGAGGGCAGGAGGGAGGGACAATGCCGATGTGCCCGGGGTCACTTGGGGGACCAGCGCACCCGCCAGTCCCGAGCTCCACACTCCTCCCGGTGAGCTGCAGGGGACCGGGCCTTCCAGACGGCGCTCTACGCGAAACCCTCCCAGGGCCGAAAAGGAATCAAAAAGAACCCAGCGGAATCCACCTCCCTGAATTGACCCGGAACTTTCTGACAACTGTGGAGCGCCGGGATAATGAGTTTATAATTCATAATATAAACAGTGCGTGCCTCCTGGTGCTATACGAGCACACGCTGTCTCCATCACTGGCGATGGCTCCAGTAGAAAAACTAAGAATGGACCGGCTGAGCATAATGGCCGGCGCACGTGGGGGAAAGACCAGAGCAGGCAACACAAATCCAGTCCGTACTCGGTCAGGAAAAGAGAAAAAAAGGGAAGACAACGCTATTGCAAAGGGATGGCATAAAAAAAAATTCCCATTCAACTGTTCTTGCTTTAAAGAAAAAAAAAAAGAGAGAAGGAAAATCAAATTTTCTTTATGGAAGAAAAAAGCACAAGCCTGGAGATCCGTCTGAAGCAAAGAGCCTTTCAGGTCCGCGTCTGCTCCCAGGCAGCAGGGCTGGGTTCTGATTTAAGTTGAAAATATGTAATGACAGCAGCGGAGAAGGAGGAAAAGGCCCCTCCCCCTCCCCCTCCCTCTCTTTAGGGCGCTGGCCCTGCCCGAGCCCAGCCCATCCTCCCTTCTCCTCACTCACAGGGACGTCAAGACTTGCCCTTTCAGCTCCGCACCAACCGCCTCGGAGGCCTGAAAAGCTAATTGCAGTGGTGGGAGCGTGATTCACCCGCGAAGGAAGGAGAGAAAAACAAGGCTTCCTTTTCCAGCGCTTCCTCCTCCTCCAGCTGTCCCCTGTGAGCAGGCTCTGTGGGTCCAGATGCTTTGATGTCAGGCAGGAGGGACGGAGGGAGGGGATGTCACCCTGACCACCACCAGCATGTGCACGCGCTTCTCTCTCCCTCCGAGTACAGAGAATTGAAGCGACCCAAGGCACACACTGTAGCTCCGTGCCAAATGCAAACCAGTGATTTAACGTGAGAAAAATGCGAGCCAAATAGTTCAGGGTTGTTTCTCTAGGATCCAGAAGTGGCCACAAAGGTGTCCGACAAGATTTAAACATCATCAAGAGTTCAGCTTTTTATTTTTTTGTTTTTCGAGGGGGTTGATGAACGGAAGGGGGCTTTAAAGAGAATTAAAGAGGAAAGCAGGAAAATGAATGGGGACGTGTGTCACCGCTTTCTGTGACTAAGGAAGTCACCTGGCGGGCCTGCTCTGCCTGCGAAGCGTCCGTTCACATGCAGGGAGCCCTGCGGAGCCCTGTGCACGGCTGCAACCCATTTGCCTGTTTTTCACTATTTGAGACCTCGCTAGCCCCACCCTTTGGAACATTCTCCGGGGCCAGACCTCTTCCAGAATCCGCTCCCTCACTCCAGACATTCCCTCACTGAGGTTGAAAATGATTTGGGAGAGAAAGGAGGCCGGGAGGAGGCACTGGGGGAAGTAAAGGGAGAAAGAGTGAAGAAAGAAAGAAGAAATAGAAAGATTTGCTTCCTGGGGCCTTAGCCTGATTTTCCACATCTGGCCAGGTGTCCTAGCTGGACCTGGAGGGTGTGAATGAGGGTGTTCAAGGAAGAAAAGAGACTTCATACCCCGGGGATGGCAAGCAGAGCTGGAGAGGGGTTTTTCAGGAACTGTATGTACAAGGGGAAGAGACGGCTGATGAGTCACCATTTCCCCAGGCCAGGCATTCACTTGTTAACTAGCTCAAAGGACAGGAGGCGGCCAGTCTGGCTATAATGCCAGCATTCTCCATCTATATGCTAACTCGCAGCTGCAGCTATAACCACTCAAAGCCCCGACCCCTCAGCCCTCACAGCCCTCACTGCTCCGGGAGGGACCCCCCAGCCTCACTGCCAGCCCTCACCGCTAGGGAGAGCAGACAGCCTCCCTCCCCACGTGCCTCAGAGGGCCTTGGCTCCTGGGCGTCCCCAACATGTATAGTGAGACAGGGGCGCTGCTCATCACAGTGATGATGGGGACCAGTAGAAACAAGATGATTAGGGCAAGGTTAAAAGTTGTAAGTAAAAGTCGTGCTCAGGCTTATTACTGAAAGGGCGGGGACCTGGTCAGCAATTTACAAATACTTTGAAACTATGTGATCTAAGGCACCAACGGAAAGATCCTTTAGGCTTCAGTGTATGGAAAATTGAATAATGTCTTATCTTTTCGGTACAAGCTTTCACCAAGCTGTAATTTAGCTCTCTTTCCCCTCCCTCCCCGTGTGCACACAGAGCTGCCTCCCCTCTGTCCTCAATATGGTTTATTCCTCTCTGCCGCTCCCTTCTGTTTTAATTAGATTCAAATGCTTCCTGCTTCCAAGGTTCCCAGACATCTCTCTAGGGACCAGATGCTTTAATCACAATAAAGCCTTTCTACGCCCAGCCTCCCCTATTGACATAAATGTACATAATCTATACTGACTTAACAGCTATTTTGTGCCGTGCAGTGAAGGCAAACAAAATAAATAACAAGGTTTGTCCTCAAGAAGTTTATATAATTAGAGAGGAATCTGCTTCAAAATAATATAATTATCTGAAATGGCCCAGATTACTGTTTTGAGACATATAGATGAACCTTTTCAATTTCTGACTGTCTGCTGGCTTTGTGCTACCCACTGCGAATGGAGATTTCTTACTTTTTCTGGACACATAAATGTATTTCAACGATTTGGAATTGTCCTTACGTATTCTGTTCCTTCTTGGAGCAGAAGTGCCCTGGGTGGGGAGAGTCTGTTTTCCTCTCCCCTCTGGATCGGGTCAGCACTCCCCAACAGGAGACAGACTCCGTAATCCTGTGCTTTTGCTGCTGATGTGACAATTCCAAGTTTTTATCAAAAACATCTGGACCCACTGAACAGTTATTCTGCTAGAATTTTGAAACGCCACAACCAATCAGTTCAAATCCAAACTAGAGCTCAGAGTTACAAATTTTCGTTTTGAGAATGTTCCTTCTTTCCTTGAATTTTGGGAACTTGTAATTATGTAATAATCTGTGTATTATTTACAATAGTAGTTATTTACAAGATTAATGATCCCTCCTTCTCTGTGTCCTTCTATCCGCAACAAGGGTTTCCAAATTCCTCAAGAGAAGAACCAGTGCTTTTAGTCTGTTCAGACCACAGGCCCGACATGTGGTCTTAAAATTCCAGAAAATGAAGAATAACAGTATTTTATGCATTATAACTTATAGCATTTCTGTTCAAGAATTAATTTTTCTCCTGGTTTGTTCAATGACAAGATCTAACCCCCAACCCGAATTATTTAACCTTCTTACAGGGCACCTCTATTTGGCTCCTTTTGTTCCAGGTGGAGTCCCATAGTCGGTTCTGCGTTAGGGCGCCACCTAGTGGGTGTGCTGAGGATCCAAACAGAACGCTCAGGGCCAGTAAAAGGAACAGCAGCATATGACTGGGCCCTGGTTAAGTGACTCACCAGTGACTCATTCAGTCTCAGCAGGA